ATATACACTTAAAATAAAAGATTAGATAATGAACAGCCTTCATTCAATCTGAAAAGTTAATTCTCCCTTGCCATGTGCCATCACATAGCCACAGGTTCCTGAATATCTTTGGGGAGTGACTGTTCTGCTCACCACAGAAGTCCATTAAAATAATCATTCCCCCTAGACCCTCCATAGCTGCCCTGCTAGCCCGTGGACCACACAGCACTGAGAAGGGATGAGGAGAGGCGATAGAGGGCTGGGACACAGGAGACTAAGCCCTTATCTGAGCTGTCAGTAACTTGCAGAGAAGATTTGCATAATTCCCTTCTTCTCTCCATGTCCTGCCTTTTCCACAGGTAAAGATAAAATGGCTCCTCACAGCCAAAAGTTGGGAAAAACTCAAGTGTTCATTGAATGATGAATTAACAAAGAAAATGTGCTATATAAATATACATGATAGAATATTAGTTAGCCCTAAAAAGGAGTGAGATTCTGAAAGATGCTACAACATGGATGGACCTCAAAGACATTGAGCTAAGTGAAATAAGCCAGACTACCAAAAGACAAATACTATGTGATTCCACTTATATGAAGTAGCCATAATAATCAAATTGATAGAGACAGAGAGTAGAATGTGGGTTACAGGGAGATGGGTTAATGGGGAATTGCTATTTTAATAGATTCCTGTGTTCAGTTTGGGCTGATGAAAAAGGTATGAGGTGGGGAGTAGTGAGGAATATATAACAACACAAATGCACTTAATGCCACTGAGTTAGACACTTAATGGTTAAAATGGTAAATTTTGCTATGTGAATTCACCACAATAAAAATTAAATGAATGAATGAATGAATGAATCATCTTTTTTTTTTTTTTTTTGCTTTGTCTGTGGTACTCTGTGACAAAGATATACAAGTTAGAAAGTATCAGAGTAGACATTTTTATGATTGCAAATATTACAAGGTGGGCCACTAAGTATGTGATTCAAGCATTGAAAGATAAGAAGATGGACCGGGCTCTAGATATCTCATGAGCGCTCCTAACACTGATTATCTCTGTTGTGGTCATGCATGACCCAGCTTCTGCCAGGTGATGGTTTGGGATGACTTTGATACCATGGCAAAGCCAATGTTTTTCTTCTACTTCCTTTCAGGACATTCCAGATCCAAGCAACCTGCCCCTGATGGCAAACTGGAAGACCTTCTTGCTGTTCTTTGGTACTGCCATCTTCACATTTGAAGGCGTTGGTATGGTAAGACTGCTGGGTTTGAGTGAATGGTCCCCTAATGTTCTTTAGGGTGGCCAGTTGCAATTCCATGTATCTAAATGAATAGCATTTATAAAAAAGTGCAGAACAGTGATGCATTCAGGGTGCCTACTGCTCCATACACCACACTACGTCTTGAAGACGAGAATTTCCTAATCAGAAAAGATGGAATTGACCTGATATTCCAGTGGCTCGGGAGGCTGAGGCTGGAGGATCGTGAGTTCAAAGCCAGCCTCAGCAAAAGCAAAGCACTAAGCAACTCAGTAAGACCCTGTCTCTAAATAAAATACAAAATAGGGCTGGGGATGTGGCTCAGTGGTCAATTCCCCCTTAGTTCAATCTCTAGTACTCTCCGTATCTCCCCCAAAGAGAAAAGATGGAATTGAGCATTCATGGCAATAGAAAATGAGAGAAAAATGAAAGCAGTGTGGCCATGTGGAGAGGCCCCTTCTGACTCTGGGCCCACCCAGAGAAGGACAGCCATGCTAGCGGGGGAGCCTGAACCTACACCAAGTGCCACATCTCTTTCTACCCTTTGTTTTTCAAACTCTTTTCATCTCCAGGTTCTGCCTCTCAAAAACCAGATGAAGAATCCACAGCATTTCCCCCTTGTTCTGTACGTGGGGATGTCCCTTGTCATCTTTCTCTATTCCTGCCTGGGAATCCTGGGCTACATGAAGTTTGGGTCAGACACTCAGGCCAGCATCACCCTCAACTTGCCCACCTGCTGGTACGTCCCCTGCTGGCCTCAGGTATAGGGAGAAGCATGGGATCTGCACCTTAGCAAGAGATGGGCATTCACTTGGGTTTTCTTTAGCAACAAATATTAACTGTTAATATTACTATTAATTGTAATAATTGGTAAGTTTGATGATCTAGGCACCATGCACTATCTCATTTAATTTCTTATACCCCATGAGTTAGCATTATTATAATTAATTCCATTTAATAGATAAGGAATTTGATATTTGGAGAGGCTCTAAGTAGTTTTCCTAGCTCGCATTGTGAGAAGCAGAAGCTTGAATCTAATCTCTCTGACCCTAAAGTGCAAAGACTCTAGAACAGAAATGATCTAGGAATGTTAAAGAAACCAAAACAGAACAACAAAAAGTATAACTCAAAGTAAAGATTGAAGTCCCACAGAGGGATTGCTACTCAGATCCCAAGTTTCAGATATAGACCACACCACTATTGCTGTGTCCCAGTTGGAACTTGGTCTGGAGTTCTTGTATTCAATCATTCATTCATCCAGAAAATATTCTGGAGGCTGGCACATGGTATGACATGGTATGCAAACATTCCACCTTAGCTGTTATAGTGGCAGTATTGGATACATAGTGGCCAAGCCGTCAAGACAGCCAGTGTTTAAGAGCACATGTTCTAAAGGTATCTAATTGACCTTGGGCAAGACACCTGATCTTTGACTCCCAATCCCTGTGCTCAGTAAAATGAGGATCATACTTATGCCTGTTTATATCAGTCAGGATAGAGTAAGTTTTGCTCCAATAATAATCTCAGTGGCTGAACACACCAATGCTTAATTGCATGCTCATGCTGCATGTACATTATGGGATGGTTAAGGCTCTTGCTGTTGGAACAGCCACTCTACAAAGTGTGGCTGGTGGCCATGGCAGAGAGCACGGGGAATCACACACTGTGCACCAGGCTGGCAAAACTTCACCTGGAATGGCAGGTATCTCTCCTGCTCACACCGCCCCAGTCTGGGTACTCCAAGGAGGCAGGGATGTACCTGAAAGTCTTTAGTGAGCACCATAAATGACCACGACACTCTCTCACAGGGAGAGTCTGAGCATTAATTGGTTTGATATAGAAAATGCTTAGCACATAGTAAGTCCTTGTGGAGGGTTAGGTCTTATCATTGCTGTGCACCACAGCTTTGGTCTCCCTGAGACAATTAGGGTGATAGGGAATCGATTTCCCATAAAGCCAGGGTTGTAAACTGAGGAAAAGGTCACCAGCCCCACGACCTCCCTGTGTTGTGAAGACTAGATGATATAATCAATGTGGGACTTACTTGACATTGTGCTTTATGTTATGTAAGTAAGATATCCTGTACTTGGGAGACTGAGACAGAAGGATCACAAGTTTGGGGACAGCCTGGAACTTAGTGATACCCTGGCTAAACATTTAAATAAAAATTTTTTTTTAAAGATCAGGTGTGTAGCTCAGTGATAGAAATTTTATCAAGCATGTGTGAGGCTCAATCCCCAATAATGGGGGGCAGGGGATAAGAAATTCTAATAACCATGTAGGCAGGACTCTTTCTTTCTGAGGACCACAGCCAAACATGGGCTTTGACCTCCACCAAGGCTTTGTGCCTGTAGTGTGATCCTGGCTGATCTTCATGTTTTCCCGGGGAGCCTTAAACAAATTTCCCTTTCCAATAGGAGAAACACCAACGACTCAAGAAAAAAAAAATGGGCAGAGGGTATGAACAAACAGTTCACAAGCAAATAAGAAATGACCATTTTATATTTGAAATGATGCTCAAAGCAGATAATAGAAATGCTAGTTAAACGAGACACACACACACACATAATGTCATAGACTGTCATGTACTCACACACACTTTTGACAAGCTGGGACTTCAACACAGTAGGACAAGTGGGCACTCTTACCCATCATCCTTATTGGTGGAATTACATATTATGTTCATGTAGAAAAGCAAACAAAGATTTTTTTTTGCAGCATTGTGGCAAAAGGACCATTATTCTCAAAAGAATAATTCAAATATTTATTAATTAGTGACTAGTTTTAAAAAAGTATTATATCCGGCAATCAGAATGCCAAATTGTTATTAAATGGAAGGGCCAGATCTATGTGTATCGACAGGGAGCAATCTCCAAGAAATATTTGGTAATGAAAAAGTAAGGAGATCCACTGCATGTAGAGAAATGTGTGCAGCATGTTCCTCTGTGGGTGGGTGTGAGGCCCCACATGGTGTGGAAGGTTATATATACGCAGCGTATTTCTTGGAAGCACAAGACAATTCTGAATGGTTGCCTAAGGAAAGGGGAACTGGAGACTGGGAATCAAGGGCAGAGATGCTTTTCACTGTAGATCTATTGCACTTGAATTTTACTCTATGCATACGTTTTAAATAATTAAAAGGAGGGGGTTCCTGGGTCATGGGCTTGTTGCCTCGTCATCTCCAGGAATGTGCACTTTTAAAATATTTATTATTTTAGTTGTAGTTGGACACAATATCTTTATTTTATTTATTTTATGTGGTGCTGTGGATTGAACTCAAGGCCTCGCACATGCTAGGTGAGTGCTCTACCTCTGAGCCACAACCCCAGCCCAGGAATGTGTACTTTTAATGAGTTGCCAAGGAGGGTCCTGACAGCCAGTCTGACCCAAGTCATTGGATATTAGCCAATTTTGTAACTCAATGACAGGTACCAGTTTCTGAACAGTAAGTGAGTCCCAAACAGCCCTTCCTGGGGGCCAAATTGCATTTCACATCCTCTTGATGATTGTCTGCAGGTTGTACCAGTCGGTCAAGCTGATGTACTCCGTGGGCATCTTCTTCACCTACGCCCTCCAGTTCCACGTCCCAGCTGAGATCATCATCCCGTTTGCCGTCTCTCAGGTGCCAGAGAACTGGGCACTGTTTGTAGACCTGTCTGTCCGCACAGCCTTGGTCTGTCTCACCTGTGAGTAGGATGAAAGGCACTAGGGCAAGGAGCCACTCGGGTGCCTACCCCACCGTCACTGGCTCTGCCATTTGCTTTCTTTGTGACTTAGGGCAAGATAATTAATCTCCCTGGGTCTCAACTTTTCCACCTGAAAAAAATGGGCTTAAAAGAACTGTCACATAGTAAATGTTACCATAATCTCTACTGACTACCTATGGAAAATATAAGCTGATTTTATGAAGGAAAGAAGTATCATTCATTCACCCGCTCTCCTATGTGCCTGGTACTGACCTGCTTGGTTTGAGGTGTTTGGAGTTCCCAGTCTGTACCCAGAGTCAGAAACCTGGATATGTGTTGTTCTGAGATTGTTCCCATTCTCAGGAGTGTAAGTTGAAGAGAAAAATGGAGTTCAGGCAACTCTGGATCATGGAAAGTACAGGTAGAGACATGGTCTTCTGATGACATATTCTGCTTCTAGCATACACTAAATGGCCATTTTTTCCTTTTTTATTCATTCATCCATCATTCATTCATTTAAGTATTGTTTGTTGAGCACCTCCTATATGCCTGACATTGTGCTGGACACTAGGGACTCAATCACAAATAATGGGACTAGGGATTTAGCTTAGCATATACAAAGTCCTGGGTTCAATACCCAGTACCACTCATCCTCCTCCTCCTTCTCATCGCCATCATAAAAAATAGTGAGGATGTAGCTCCAGCTATCATAGGATTTACAAGATGAGCTGCAGCTCACTGCAAGGAAATAATGGCAGCACTTTGTGATAAATGTTAAGATGGCACAAGATGAAGCACCCGCGTGACAGTTAAAACTCAGTAGCAGACACCCTGTATACTTAACAGGATCCTGTTCCTCATCCTGGGCAGGTCAGGGGATCAGTCCTCTCCAGTGGAGATATGCTGGCTAAGACCTAGGAGAGCAGAGGTAGATCACATATAGGGAGTAGGCTGTGCACAAATCCGAGGCCAGTACTTGCCTGTGACCCACTGGAGAAAAGCAGTTGGGCACAATCAGAGAGTAGGTCCAAACATACGGAAGGACCCAAATCCTGAACTCACAGCTCTCTCAATCAGTGCTGAGGAGTTTGGGCAACAGGGAGCCCTGGGAGGGCTCTGAGGAGTGGGTTGCTTTGACCAGAGCTGAGCCTCTTGAAGGATGGCTTCTGTTCACCTTGCAGTGCAGCTCTCTTTGAACACATCTCCTCTGTCCCCTTCAGGGTGAGCTCTCCTGGGGAAAGATGCTGATTTTTCTCTGTACCTCCACTGGTAATGAGCTTATCATGCATCTGATGAAGGAAAACTATGGACAGGGAGCACACTATAAAGGGATGATGGGCTTCCAACTCTGAGACCCTGAGTCCCTCTTATGCTCAATATGTTGGAGCAATTTCAGAAAGAGGTGATGGTTTTCTTAAAGGTCCAGCAAGCTGAGTCTAGAAGTTCAGATCAATGGTAGAGTGCTTGCCTAGCACATGCAAAGCCCTGGGTTCCATCCCCAGCACCAGGAAAAAGAAATATACAGCAAGCTTAGATGCTTTCCAAAACAATTTTTCTCTAATTTGTTCATAGATAAATTATATGGGCACATGAAATTAAATCATATAAGTTGCATATTCCCTCATTCAAATATTATCAAAATTGGACTCTGTTGGCAAATCCATGGTATGCATTTATTGTATGTATATGAGATGGAGATTTAAGAATGTTTATAGAAGAAGAGAGATGGAGAATGGGCAGCTAATGCTGTCTTCATGTTTTATGTTCTGCTTAATTACCAGAATTCTTTTATGAATGGCAAAATAAGTGGTTGAGAATTGTATACAATAGAACCATCTTTCTTTTTTAATCCATCCTTTGTTCTATACAGAAGTTGCATGATGTAGATGGTACAATTTGTTTCAGTGTTTATATAAGAGTCAAACCCTTATGAGCACCTACTGTGTGCCAAGTAGGCAGCATAGTAAAGTGGAAAGAACTTTATTTTTTGTTGTTGTTGTTTGTAGATTTTTATTTTTTAAATTGATAGATAAAAAACTATGTGTGTTTATGGTATCCAACATATTTTGATAGATGCATACACTGTGGTATAACTGAACTAAGGTAATTAACATACCTACTAGCTCAAATATTTATCATTATTTTAGTGAAAATATTTAAACAGTACTATCTTGTCAATTTTCAAGTATACAATACATTGTTATTAGCTACAGTCACCACGTCATAAACAGATCTTTTGAACTTGATCCTCCTTTCTAACTGCAATTTGTCCTGTGTCTTTTGGTCAATACCTCCCCAGTTCTCATACCCCTACCCTCTACCATCTCACTCTGTCCTTGTATGAGATTAATTTGCTAGATTCCATCTATAAATCAGAATAGGGATGTGTCTTTCTGTACTGGGCTTATTTCATTTCACATACTGTTTCCCAGGTTCATCCATGTTGTTACAAATGACAGGATTTTCTTTTTTATTTTTAAGGTTGAATAGTATTTTGTTGTGTATATATGCAATATTTTCTTTATTCCATGGCATGGTTATTGTGATAAACATTGCAATGAACATGATAGTTCAGATATTCCTTTGACATATTGATTTCAATTACTCATATATATGCCAAGAATTGACATTGTGGGGTTATATAATTATATGTTTATATTTATAAAAATTTATATTTTTATATTCATATAATTATGATACATTTTAAATTCTTTTAAAGAAACTTGGTACTAAGTTCCCTAGTGACTATTCTAATTTGCAACAGTACATAGAAATTCCCTTTTCTCCACCTCCACACCAACACTGGTTATCTGTTGTTTTTTCAACAATGGCCACCCTAACAAATGTGAGGTGATATCTCATTGTGGTGTTTTTTTGTTTGTTTGTTTGTTTGTTTTTTATTGGTTCTGCATCCCGGTACTTGTTGCTGAATTTTTGTTAAGTGCCATTCTGATTGGAATGAGATGAAATCTCAGTGTAGTTTTAATTTGATTTCTCTAATTGCTAGATTTCTCTAATTATTGACCATTCTTATGTCTTCTTTTGACTAGTGTTCATTTAGTTCCTTTGCCCATTTATTGGCTGAATTATTTGGGGATTTTTTTGGTGTTATTATTTTTTGAGTTCTTTGTGAATCCTGGTTATTAATATCCTACTGAGGGGCAGGTAGCAAAGATTTTTCTTCCATTCTGTGGGCTCTCTCTTCACACTCTTGTTTCCTTCGCTATGAAGAAGGTTTTAATTTGATACCATATTTATTGACTTTTAATTTTGTTTCTGGCCCTTTAGGAATCTTGTTAAGGAAGTCAGTTCCTAAGCCGACATGTTGGATTTGGGCCTGCATTTTCTCCCAGTAGGTACAGGGTTTCTGGTCTAATTCCTAGGTCTTTGGTCCATTGTGAGTTGAGTTTTCTGCAGGGTGAGAGATAGGGGTTAATTTTCTTTTTACTACATTGGATTTCCAGTTTTCCCAGCGTCATTTTGTTGAAGAGGACTATAGCTCTGTAGTATAATTTGATGTTCAGTATTTATAATGCTTTCTGCTTTGCTTTTCTCACTAAGGATTGCTTTGGCTGTTCTGGGTCTCTTATTTTTCCAAATGAATTTCATGACTGCTTTTTCTATTTCTGTAAAGAATGTCATTGGAATTTTGATGGGAATTGCATTTAATCTGTATTTTGCTTTTGGTGGTATGGTCATTTTGGCAATATTAATTCTGTCTATCCAAGAACATGGATGGTCTTTCCAGCTTCTAAGGTCTTCTTCAATTTTTTTCTTTAATATTCTAACATTTCATTGTGGAGGTCCTTTTTTTGTTAGATTGATTCCCGAGTTGTTGTTGTTTGTTTGTTGTTTTTTTGTTTTGTTTTATTTCAGGGTATTGTGAATGAGATAGTTTTCCTATTTTCTTCCTCAGCAGATTCATCATTGGATTATAGTGTTGTAGGGACAGACGAGGCAAGGCACTGAAGATAGCAGGAAACAGTGTTATTTGGCTGCAGCCAGGTTCAGAGGGCACAGCTTTTGCTGTAATCAATCAATCCCCTGAACCCCAAATTCAGGTAGTTTCAGGGTTTTATACCCAGCATGTAAGGAGGGGATTAGAAGTTCACATAAAAGCAGCTTTTTCTTTCACTGTTCTGGGCAAGTTAACCCTTCAAGGACAGCACCTGAGAAGGGGAGAGCTTCTTCTCCCCTTTCTTTCCTCCCCCTGCCAGCTGTTACCATGGAGCCCAATAGGTAACTTATCTTAAAAATGTAGACATCTCTGTGAAGCCCAGATCAAGGCCAGAGGACTTGTTTGCACATTTCTACAAACTACTATACTGGATACATTTGTGAAAAACTAGTAACTGGGTGTCCAGAATCTGGAGTGCTGATTTCTTCCCGGCCATGGCCAAGTAAGATAGGGCAACATGAAAATGGGAATTATCTACATTGAACTAACTCTTTTGCAAAGACTCTTTTGCTGACAGTCCCAAAATTAGCCATGGTAAAGATTTCTAGAGAAGCCCAGTTAGGACTGTTTTGTGGAGAAAGGGGGTGCCACTACAATAGGAAAATTATTGTTATATGGGTATTGATTTTGTATCCTTCTACTTTTCTGAATTCATTTATGATCTAGCTCTCTAAGTCTTCGGGTAGAGTTTTTTGGGGGTACTCTAAATATGGGATCATATCATTGGCAAGCAGAGGTAATTTGAGCTCTTCCTTTCCTATTCATATCCCTTTAATTTTCCCCTCTCACCTAATTGCTCTGGCTGGAGCTTCAAGGATTATGTTGGATAGGGGTGGTAAAAATGGGCATTCTTGTCAATTACTGATTTTAGAGGAAATTCTTTTAGTTTTTCTCCACTCAGAATAATGTTGGCCTTGGGTTTGTCCTATATAGCCTTTACAATGTCAAAGTAAGTTCCTTTTAAATGTGAATGCCTGCTATATTTTCAGTGTTTTAAACGTGAATGCCTGCTGTATTTTGTCGAATGCTTTTTCTGCATCTATTGACATACTCATGTGATTCCTGTCCTTAATTTTGTTTAAGTGGTGAATTACATTTATTTATTTGCATATTTGAATGAACTTTGCATTCCTGGAATGAAACCCACTTGATTATGGTGCACTAACTTTTTAATATGCTTTTGTGTACAGCTTGCCAATATTTTATGGAGAATTTTTGCATCTATGTTCATCAAGGATATTGGTCTGAAGTTTTATTTCTGGATGTGTCTTTGTATTGTTTTGGTATCAGGGTGATAGTGGCTCCATAGAATGAGTTTGGCAGTGTTCTGTCCTTTTCTGTTTCTTGAAATAACTTGAGGAAGGTTGGTATTAGTTTTTTAAAGTTCTGGTTGAACTCTGGTAGAATCCATCCAGTACTGGGATTTTATTTGTTTGAAGGCTTTTGATGGCTGCTTCAAGTTTATTACTTGATGTTGATCTATTTAAATTTTCTATATCGTCCTGGTTCAACTTGGATAAGTCAGATATCTCTAGGAATTTGTCCATACCCAAGATTTTCTAGTTTGTTGCAGTATAAATTTTTAAAATAGTCCCTGAAAACCCTCTGGATTTCAATAGTATCTATGGTGATATTTGTTTTTTATCTTGGATTTTAATGATTTGAGTTTTTTCCCCTCTATAAAGGACTTCAGGTGAGGCATCCCGTGGATTCTCATCTTAGCTCTGTATGACCTTAAGCAAGCCCTGTTCCTTTTAGAGCTTTGGATCTCCCCATCTCTATAATGAAGGAGGTTATAATAGCTAAGTGGTAGAGTAAATCTCCAATAAAGATTATGTATGAAAAATAAAATAGAAAAGGGGCATGTGTGTCAGCAGTAAAGATAAGAGAGGGAGTCAGGAGTTGTGGTGCCTGACCTGTGTGTAAACCACAGTGGGCTCCTGCCACCTCTCCAAACAGCTTCTCATTCATCTGTGAAGCTCTTGGGCTCCAAAGCAATGGTTTGGTTTTGAGCTTATGGCAGGAACATTTAGTGATTCTAAATTTTTCTTCTTGCTGCAGGTGTCTCAGCCATCCTCATCCCCCACTTGGACCTGGTCATCTCCCTAGTGGGCTCTGTGTGCAGCAGTGCCCTGGCCCTCATCATCCCACCCCTCCTGGAGATCATCACCTTTTACTCTGAGGACATAAGCTGTGCCACCATTGCAAAGGACATCATGATCAGCATCCTGGGCTTTTTGGGGTGTATTTTTGGAACATACCAAGCCTTCTATGAGTTGACCCAACCCATTAACCATTCCATGGCCAACTCTACAGGTGTCTATATGCATCATTTTTAATTTTTATTCTAATAGCTTCCCCTTCCTCCTACCCCCATTTTGATTTCCATGCAGATGTTATATATATTCATCAAACCCAAACATCTCTATATTAATTAGTGGCTTCTTTATCTTTCCAAGAGAAATGTAGATAACACAGGTTAGTATTAATACCTCTCAGGCTACCCCTTTTTTGATTTTGGATTTCTTTGGCAATCTTTTGTACCTCAGAACCAATATCACATTCAGACATTCATATTATTAACATCATTTGATGGAAACAGAGATAACATTCACTTCTAATAAGCCTGGAAACAAGAGACCAAGCTTAAATGCAAAAGAAAGTTTTTTTGTCTATACCATAGAAACTTCCCTAGAAACATCAAATTTTTAAAAGTATATATCTGTAGAAGGGAATTTTCTATATAGATATTCCAAGTGAAAGAGTGACAGAATAACAATAGAACTTAGCCATAATTTTTTCACTGATTTCTTTCTTTATTTTTTTAATTTTTTTAAATTGGGGATTGAACCCAGGGGCACTTAACCACTGTGCCACATCCCCAGACTTTTTAATTTTTTAATTTTGAGACAGGGTCTCAACAAGTTGCTTAAGACCTCACTAAATTGCTGAGGCTGGCTTTGAACTTGTGATCCTCCTGCCTCAGCCTCCTGAGCCAATGGAATTACAGGTGTGCACCGCTGCACCTGGCTCTGCCACTGATTTCCTATGGGACCTTGGGCAAGTTCCTCCCCTTCTCTTAGTATGTGAAATGAAGGGTGAGACTAATTGATTGTTGAGGGCTCTTTCAACTTTGACCTTCTAAAAGTAAAAAGGGAAATTTATAGTTTATTATTCATCCTCCAATCACATGTGTGACAATTGTTTCCCATGAGCTAATGAACCTATTGCTGGGAGATATGAGTAGGTTAAGAGATGAAAACATATTTTGTTACATATTATTTTATTTACATATAAATAAAACATATTTCATTCCATTTCTGTCTTTCAGCAGAACTTACATTCCTGTTAATACCTCAAAGGTGTGGTTTCCCTAACTAGGGATCCCTTTCCTTCCTTCCATTTTCTTTCTCTGATCTCTTAAAGCCACTTAGTGCTCATTTAGGCTGATGGGAATGAGCAGTTTCCATAGAGAAAAGGAGGTTCATGTACTGGAGACTTGAACCCCAGTGTGGCAGTATTGGGAGGTTGTGGGACCTTTAAGAGGAGGGGCCTCATGGGAGATACTTAGGTCAAAGAGAGTGCTGCCCTTGGAAGGGAATACTGGTTTCCTGGAGTGAGTTCTCACAAGAGGAAATGGTTATCAAAGCCTGATTAAGACCCTTGTGTCACTCTCTGACATCTGTTTCCAGATATAATCCCTTCCTCCAACATGTTCTCCTGCCCTTGCCATTCACCCCAAAGTTACGTGGTCAAAAGGGGGAACTTGACAGAACCTGTTCCATGTGGTTAGGACTTTCAGCATCAAAAACTTTGAGCTATGCCGCAGTCTGGCTGGGCACAAAATCACGAGCCACTCACAGCCTTGTAGATTCAAACAGCAATTCTTTATTCCCGAACTCACACCGGGAACTCTACAAACACGTTCTGGGGAAAATCCACACCTCCACTGGGCTCTGCATCCCAACATACTCTCTGAATCCCGCGAGAACTCAACGGGAACTCAAGGAGCCAGCGCCTGGAGGCAGCAGGATACACCTTAAGCCTGGAACTGCCCTAAACCCAAGGAGCGCCCTAAACCCCCATCCCAAACCCTGATCCGCCGTAAACCAGGATCCGCCCTGGTCCAGAGCTAAATAGTCCTCTTTACTTTATAAAGTTAACTGGTCTCAGGTATTATTATAGCATCAAAAAGCTGACCAGTAATGGGGAAAGAGTGAATGGTTTCCCTGCAAGATCAGAAACAAGACAAGGATGACCAGTCTCAGCACTTCTGTTCAAGATTGTACCAGACATTAAAGACGGTACAGTCAGACAAGAAACATGAAGTAAAAGGTGTCCATATTGGAAAGGAAAAATTAAAACTCTATTTGATGACATGGTCATTCATGTAGAAAATTCAGTGTAATCTATACAAAAGTACATCCAGTTTACAAAGTTTCAGTATATGAGATCCATATACAAAATCCAATTTGCACTTCTGCATACTAGCTGAGAATAATTAGAAACTAGAAATTTCAAATTAAATTTATAATAGCATCAAAAACATGCAATAAATGAGAATAAATCTGTTGAAAAATATGAATGACATATATGCAGAAATATACATGGACATACCTTGAAGGCATTGCAGATTTGAGTCTAGATCACCACAATAAAGGAAATATCACAATAAAGCAAATCACATGAGTGCTTTAATTTTCCAGTGCACATAAAAATCATATTTACACTATATTATAGCTTATTAGGTGTGCAATAGCATTACATCTAAAAAAATGTGTTTTTTAAATTTTAAAATATTTTCTTGCTAAAAATCGTAACAGTATTCTGAGCCTTCAACAAGTTAGTCTTTTTTGCTATTGCAGAGTGTTGCCTTGATGTTGATGGCAGCTGACAGCTTAGGGAGGTATATGCTGAAGGCTGAGATGGCTGTGGTAACTTCCTAAATAAGACAATAATGAAGTTTGCTGTGTAGATTGACTCTTTTATAAAATGTTGTTTGATGGCATTTTTACCCAGAGTCAAAATTGGGATTTAATCCTCTGAAACTCTGCTGATGCTGTATCAACCAAGTTCATGTAATATCATGTAATAGTCACAATCTTTTACTGGCATTTCAACTATGTTGAGGGCATCTTTACCAATAGCAGATTCTATCTCAAGAAACCAGTTTCTTTGCTTATCTACAAAAAGCACCTCTTCATCTGCTAAAGTTTTATCATGAGATTGCAATTCAGTCACATTTTCAGGCTTCACTTTTAATTTTCTTGCTATTTCCACCACATCTTCAGTTTCTTCCTCCAGCAAAGTCTTAAATACCTCAAAACCATCTGTGAGAGTTAGAATCAACTTCTCTCAAATTCCTATTAACATTAATACTTATACCTTCTCCCTTGAATCAAAGATATTATTAATGGCATCTAGAATTATGAGTTCTTTCCAGAAGATTTCAAATTTACTTTGTCCAGATCTATCAGAGGAATCATTATCTATAGCAACTGTAGTCTTACAGAACATAATTCTTAAATAATAAGGCTTGAGTGTACTTCTGAAATCCTACCTACTTAGGAGGCCAAGGCAGGGTGATCACAAGTTCAAGACCATCCTGGGAAATTTAGCAAGACCTTGTCTCAGAATTTTAAAAAACAGGCTGGAGATAAAGCTCAGTGGTGGAGTATTTGCCTAGCATGTGCAAGGCCCTGGGCTCAATCTCCAGTATCACAAAATAGAAAAAAAAAATACTTAAATGTCCAAATTATTCCTTATCCACAGGCTGCAAAATGGATGTTAGCAGGCATGAAAAAAAAAAAAAAAAGAATCTCACTGTACATCTTCATCAATGTTTTTGGGTGACCAAACACATTGTCAATGTTTAAAGTACTTTGCAAGGGACCTTATATTATCTAAGTGATAGGTATCAACATGAGGCTTAAAATATTCAGAAAGCTGTGCTGTAAAAATACACTGTCCCTCAGGCCTTCTTGCTCCATTTTTAGAGCACAGCAGAGTCAATTTAGTATGATTCTTAAAAGCCCTAGGATTTTTAGAGTGAAGATGAGCCCTGGCTTCGGCTTTCAGTCATCAGCTAACTACACTAGTCCCTACAAGACAGGCCTGTCCTTTGAAGCTTTGAAGCTAGACATTGACCTCTGTCTAGCTTTGAAAATCCATCTTTTTCCAAATAAAGCAGCTGTTTTATCTACACTGAAAATGTGCTATTGAAGCTACTCCTTCGCAATCCCAGCTAGATCTTCTGGATAACCTGCAGTGGCTTCTATACCAGCACCTGGTGCTTCATCTTGCATCATATGCATGTATTACAGAAAGAGTTGGCTGATAATCTCAGAGTTTACAATGTTTAAAGTTTGCTTAATCTTGCAGAGTGCACAAAATGAATCTTCTAAATTTGGAAGGCTTAGAACATTTCACACAATAGTGGAGATATTCTGAACTATCTTAGTTATTTTTATAGAAAGATAACCTGTTTCTAAATAAAAAATTCCTTAAATCCAACAATTCGCCCTTCCTGTTTTTTGAAAAGTGTTGTGCTGCTCAAAAGTCCCCATTAGCAATGAAGCTTACATCTTAATTTTAGCACTAGATTATCAAAAGGTATTTATCCTACTTTAAGCCTCTTTGAAATTAAAGCTAAAACTTTGCACATAAAATAGGCCTTTGAGTTCTTCACACTTCCTCTCTTCTAACATTTTTGACATGCAGGTAATAAAAAGCCTCTGAATTAATAAGATTTGTGGAAAAGAAGATGAAAGTTAGATTGTATCGGTTGAGAACAGAAATGAATATTAATTAATGCCTAGCAGGAGGACAGTTTGAACTTATCTTAGCATGAGAAAATTGTAGATGGTCTTTTCCCCATAAAAGATGGGGTGCACTGAAGCAGATGGCTTCCATACCTGAGGAGGAGTTTGTAATGCCTGTTCAGTTCCCTTGGGGCTGCATATGCCAGCAAATAATCCAATTGTTTACAGCTGGCATCTGTTCTGATTGGCCAATGCCCATAAAATAGTAATTATTAGGTTGTTAAATGTCTTGCTAATCATTCCAGGATTTCAAGAATGACTGAAGGGATAGGGACCCATAAATAGAGTGAGGATATTCTTAAGAAATTTTACTTTCTCTATTTATCTTATTTGAAGGAAAATGTATCTCTTAATCAAACATGTCAAACATCACATTTCTTTAGTACCCCAACAAGAAATTATTTCAAGAAATGTGAAAAGAATGGATGCATTGAAGATTAATGTGTGTGGTGCTTCTCATGAACAGTGGGAAAATATTAAACTTCTTTAATCAGAAGTGTGCTTTGAGTCAATATTGTTGTGGGTTATTAAAAAATCAAATTGATATTCAAGT